AGCCTATATATAGACTAATTAGATAACTTGCAACCGAAACTAACTAAACAATTGAATCGATAACAAAAGGTTCAATTTGACAAACATTTCGACAATACATATTAGAATAGACTTCGGCAACAATATGTATCATTTGACCCCAACATGCGAGACCCATCTTCGACTTCATACTTGTCTCCTATCGAAATTCATGAAAACTATTACTCGACAAAGTTTGTGTTCGATCCAAAATCTCACAGATATGTACAATTATTTTAATGAAAGAAATGCGTGTTACTATTAAAGATGGTGATTTTACCACTTCTTTAAATTATTTAAATGTAAAGTCATCTATTAATCTTATGATATATGTTAAATATGTTTTTAACCGTGCTAGAATAATGAAGTCTCTTTTTTGGACCGATGGAAGAATAATAGATCTAATTATTTTTGTTTTGGCGATGTGGTTGCATTCGACACAATTTATAAGAAAAAGTTTGACCATTTTACTGTTTCATCAGCCTGAAAAGGTTTGATAAGGTTTCGAATCAAACAATTTGACATCTTGAATTTCTAGCTTATTCTTTAATTGCTATTGTTATTTAATTTATTGTTATCAAGGAAGTAACTAAGCCAGCAATATAAAGATTCAAAAGAGAGAATCTAATGCTCTGCTTCTTCTTGAAGCTATGATAATGTGTTTTGAACCTCAATTTGGTCAAACATCTTTTATAATGTATTATTCGTTTTGGATCTTATATAAGCGGTTATAGTGTCTTCCATAGTGATTGAAGAGAATGTTGTTAAATAATGTGGAACTTTTCGCTATTCTTTTGATCTAATTGGAATTAAGGCGAGTGTTCTAATAAACCTTCTAACATATGGATATGCTTCTGCAATATCATGAGAGCATCTAGAAATTTGTTACACATGTTGGTAGTTAAAACAAAGAATCTGGACTTGCTTTTCTGGGAAAAGGTTTAGAGTATAAATTCAATGGTAAAATGCTACATGTCACATCAACGATCAAAATGCATTCCTCTATATCAGCACAAAGTGTGCTTCAACCACAAGTCTTGAAGAATATATACATATAGGGTGTGAAATACTAATAATTGAAAATAACATAACACTGGTATATTTTATTTGCATTGAAAATGATTTTATATTAATATTTAATTTTATAGATACAATCTATATTATAATATTTTCCAATAGCATTATAAAAGATATGCAGTTGAGTCAAATATAAAAAATTAAAACCTATTAAAATGAGTGTTAAGACAGAAAAATTATCCTTAGTTAATAATGAATTTGTTTTGTTCAAAACCAAAAACAAGTAATGGAATGGGGAAATGATTTCTTGAATGTTGGAGCAAACTTTTGATACAAGGGATAGACTTGTAAGGTGTGACATCTAAATTTTAATTGAAAAGTAGTATGAAAGTGAGAATGAAATTGCAGTGGTATAAGTGGAAGAGATTTTTGGGCGTCCCTTCTTCCTTCCCAAGTCGTCATTTCATGGATTTCATGGATTCAAGTACCTCGTTTAGAATTGAGCGCCCCTATCCCGCCGCAAAAAATGACCACCAGCGCTTGATAAGTGCAATCATGATTAATTTTGTTCATTAAAATTTGATATTTTTCGACTCTATTTTGTGTTTTTTATTATTTATTTCTTGAGTTTTCTTAGAATGTCATATAAATGGCAATTTGACTTGTTATCCTTGATATGTGTGTTAGTATGCAGAAAGTGTTGCAAGAAATCAAAGAAAAAGACACAAAATAATGAAGAAGGAACAAAGGCAAGAAGGGAAAAATTCAGGAAGCTCGCCCACTGAGCTTTGGTGAACAAAAGGTGAGCCCTCCCAGTGAGCTCTGGCGAGGTCGGGGCGAAGCAAATTAGAAATGTTTCAGTAGCAAAAATAACCATGGTCACGTGGCGAGTTTTTGAGAATTTAAGTTTGTCGGGTGAGTGTAGATATTTTGTTGAGGGAGGTCTGATGCTTTGTAAGCATTTGGATGTGCCATAAAGTTGATTTCGTCGGGCGAAACCCTGCACAGCGAGCTAGGCGGAAAAATCTGAATTTTGATTAAATATGTCCAAATCATATTTTTTAGCTCTACTCTCAATCTCTCTGACCCTATAAACCATTTTGGTGGGCGAGAAGATTAGAAAACAACAAGAGAGGGTGGTTCTTGAAGATCTGGAGTTGGATTTGCTTCTATTGTTGGGAAATCGTGGTAGATGCTTGTTCATATTCATTCTTCTCTTTGTATCTAGCTTCCATGGATAGCTAAACTTCTTTCTTGTTGGGATTGAATGTAAGTTCACAGTAATAGAATGTATTTTTATTAATCATGGGGTTATGTACGAATCTATATCGATGTCATTCTTGTTTACTTTTTACATATCAATTTGAACTGTTATTGAGAAATACTCTTCGAATCTCGATCTAGGATAATCATTTGTTAGACGCTAAACTTTGGACATAGATTTAGATTTAACATTCACGTGAGTATCGAATTTGAATGCTCTGTGTTTTTTATTGGCTAAGAGATCTTCGATTGAACAATACGGTTGAACTCTCGACAGAAGTTTAGACATGAACTCTGTTACGAGCGATACATGATTATATTGATAAATGCGTAGATTGACCATAATTGATTGGTAAATTGCAAATTCTAATGGTGAATGAAATCAATCCTGACAAGTTCTCACCTCTCAGAAGGTTTATTTTTTAGTCATCCGTTTTAGATTTTGTAGCTTTAGCCCATCAAACATCTTGCTAACTTATGCTTAAAATCATAGTAACGCACAAATCCATGTGGATACGACAAAACAAATACTCTCCCTGATAGCACCTGTATTGCAATCAACAAAATGACGCCGTTGTCGAGGATTGATGTTTAGATATTAAAATCATATCAATAGTTTCTATCTTTTTAAGCTTTGTACATTTGTCTATATTGTATATATACTTGTTTTTTATCATGTTTGTTCAAGATTTTGGTTAAGATACTTGCTTTCGGTTTACGCTTGGAAGCAAAACATCGGCATATGAATTTTTTTTTATCCAAAAATCGGAATAACTGCATGGAGGAACAACAACAAAACCTGAAAGCGAAAGTAACTAGTCAAGCAAGAGAAATGTGTTGAGCTAACGATGGTAAACAAGTGCTTGTTGGAAGGCAACCCAGCTTTATTGTTGTTTGTTTAAATTGTTGCAAAGTAGTAAATAGTAGTATTTAATTTCAAATATTTTTATTTTTGTTATTTGTCTTCAAAGATTGGTCTTTGATAGGCTTGAAGAAGCATAGATTGATTGTTTGAAGTTTGAATGCTTCAACTTGCACATGTGTGGTAATGATAGTGTTTGAAGTTGGTACATTGTCAAGCTACATGTTTAATGTTTTCTATAACATAACATGAATATGAAACTTGTAATTTGTACGAATATCATGTCATTCATTCTTTTGCAATACATGTTCATATTTAAATCACTTTAGATCATAGCCAAATGTGAGGAAACTTTCCATTGTTCACTATATGCGCAAGAGACCAACCATTCTTGTTTTAACTCGTTTGACTTATATTTTAATCTTGCATTTGTGTTGAATCGTATGCAAGCATGAAAATGATCAAAACATTTTGTTTAATTCTGAGCACAACCACTTGATGAAAAGTAACCTATCTTGAGTGTGAGTAAGTATTCGTTAATCCCTTTGAGCCTTAGTATTCGAACCTATATCAATTTTGCATTGTGGGATTTTTCCTTTGGACGCAAAGAGTTGTACATCATTGATTTTAGATTGGATTCTGAATTTTTTTCATGAATTTTCAACTATAAATTGTGCTTTGAATTTTTATCCTTCCTTTAGAAAGTTTGGAAGCATTCACATTACAATGAATTGTTGTATTCAATTTGGAGAAAAAAAAATAGGTTGCTAAGACGGTTAGATAAAAAAAAAATTTAAAGAAGAAAAAAAAGTGAAAAAGAATAGAAAAAACAAATTGTGAAAGCATTCACATTTTTTTTTTCTTACTCTTTATATGACTACCAAGTATTTCTTATGCTCGCATTAATGCATTTTCTCTTCTTATAAATAAAACCAAGCTATTATACTCTAAGATCAAACTATTATAAAAACATAAACTATTGTAAAATGGTAGTGAAATCAAAATTTATATTTTGTTAGAATTTACTTAAACTCACAAGAGTTTACAGTAAGAAAATTTTACATGCGCATAAACTCATCTTTATACATTAAAATCATAAAGGTTAAATTCATAAGAGCTAAAGAACTTTGATTAAGAGCATCTCCCGCCAAATGTTCATTCCTATCCACAATTTCTTTTCGGTAGATAAAGATTATTCCTTTGGCAATTTAGTTTTGATATGTTAAGAGTCCTACATCCGATCATATATGACATGAACATGTATTCACTCTACCAGTCAATTTTGTAGGGTTGAGAACTACATTTCTTAACATGATAGATAATCTTCATTCGTCTCCGCATCTGTGCTTCAACACTAAGTCTTGGAATATATACCACAAGTGTTTTAACCGGAACAACCTCCATCCATAGTATTGGTCTAAACCTAAGAATTCTTTTCAGGAGTAGATTAGATTCACACACATGACCAATACATAATTGTATGACATATAAAAACATAATTATATATTAATTAAAAATAAATTTAATTATAATTATTTTGTTTATGTTTGATACGGTTGAATCTCCAAGAGAAAGTTGAGAAATGGTTTTATCAAAATAGATCATATTATATTTGACCATTATTTGAAAATCCGAAGAAATATGTAGAGATTCACACCAAAAGGAAATACTACTAACAACCATTAAAACACATGGAGATTTATTACAGCCACACTAGTGCCTTTATTTTGAACCTCCTATACATCAACATACAGCGAACAAACCATTGAAACTATTTATAGCTTCAATTTAATTATTACTTGCATATAGCATATTTAGATCACAGATACATATAAAATAACTATTTGTAATAGTTTAATGTGGATGCGTCAGAGTTACCCTCAGTATACCCTCCATTGCCATTACCACGGAAAGTACCACTGTTGTTAATGGTGCGACCACCAACATTGTTGGTGGTGCGGTATTTCTTTCGGTCCCCAGAGTTCGCACCGCTGTTGATTCTGGCACCAGAGAAATTTTGGTTCCCGCCATTGTTGTTAAATGCGTTAGCAGTACCATGGTTGTTATATGGAATAGCACTAGCAGTACCATGGTTGTTAAATGCGTTAGCAGTACCATGGTTGTTGGATTTCAATGCTTCGGCTTCTTCTGCCTCAAGCATGGCGAGGAGGTTTTTCATCACACGAGATGACATTCTTATTAATTTACTTGAAAATTGGTATTAGAATTTTTGTATTTGGATGGTTTGAATGTTGCAACCAAAACCTTATTTTATAGATGTAAGGAAAGGAATCTCATGCTTTTGCTTGCTGTTCACGCATGAAACTAAATATAACATTGATTTTTCTTTTACTAAGAATTTTGTTCATTCATATCCAGATTTTTTTCTGTAGATAAAGATTATTCCTACCGGCATTATTTTTTAATAGATAAGATTCATTCGTCTCAGCATCTGTGCTTCAACACTAAGTCTGGGAATATATGTCACAAGTGTTGTAACCGCAACAACTTCCATCCCGATTCTAATTTGTAGATATGAGTACTGCAACAAAATTGTGTTCCTATTCCTATTTTTAAAGTGTTTGAATGCAGAATTTTGAAAGTAGTTTCTATATTAATTGGGGCATACTGCAAAAGACATTTTGCGTACAAGTTATTAAGATGTGGAAAACTTGCTTTCAATGTTGAGACTAGAACTAAAAATCAGTACAAGACAAAATAAAATATGCAACACGATTTTGATATTTGCAACGATTCTTACCATCTAGAAATAAATAATGCGATGGTTTGGGAATCATCGGAAGTTCATGTGTCTCGAGTTTGATTTATGACAGTTCAGAAAACTATTGTCCCAACTTAAGAAGTCTTGGACTCAGACACGGCCACGAAATACAACACGGATACGAGAACTCCGTAATATAAAAGGTATTGGACACGAAAAGGGTTATATATGTTTTATATATTAATATAATAATACAATTTATAAGCACAATTTATAAATCGTTTAAAATGAGAAACAAAATTTATGTTTTTTAAAACTTAGTACTTTCAATCAACGAAAATAAAGACATAAATCCACCAAATTAAAATGATGCAAATCATTCATTGTTATCTAATGATCCAAACTCATCTTAAGCGACGTCCCACATTTTAGTTTCCTCTTGATGATATTAGATAGTGCTCCTTCATAAAAGTAAAAGGTTACTATGCAGCTTGATGTAGTGTCATCTTATTTTTCTTTGAATAATGAATAAATGAATATGTGTTCTAATTTCTTTCAACACAAGCAGAAAAAATAAAGAATCCTGATTGTGGTGTTTTTATTTTAGGAAAGTGGAATATGTAAGATAAAAATTTCTTTTTTTATTTTTAAAAATTTTAAAGATTTTTGAGTTTTCTTTTCTTTCTTTAGTTCTAAAATATTTTGAAATAAAATGTCTGTGATTCAAATTTATTTTTTTGTTGTCCACTTTAAAAACGTGTCAAATATATATGGTACGTGTGTCGTATACATATCTGTGTCGAACACGTATTTGATACAGTAACACACTATGTGAATGGCGTGTCAGAATCTTCACAAGTCCCACAAGTCGCACGAATTGGATGGTTCCCATCTGCCTTCATCGTTAAATTATAACAATTTTTTTTATAAGCAAAATTTCATTTAACATAGAGTCATAACTAATGCTAGTTATTTTAGATTGTAACAGTTCTAACTAATGCTAGTTTTTTTCTTTGTTTTTCTGTTCTTCAGATAAAATGCAGTAGTTATAAACTGTCATCACATATATTTTACCATGGTTAGAAAATATAATATTTTTAATTAAAAGAAGTAAATTTTTACAATCATTTTGACCAATGTTTGAAATATGATCACATTAAGATTTTTTAGTTTATGTGAATATAGAAACATAAATCTATCTTTATAGTTTAGCTTTTGGTAAATTATGAGGTCTCAACCTAAAAAGTGCTTATTTTAAATGGTCTATGTTCATAAATCATGTTATAAATAATCAAGTTATTTTTAGGCATAAATCAATATCATTAGTCGCATAAATCAATATCAATAGTCTAAATTTAAGAGTTCTTCTCAATAGCAAATTAGATTCACAAACATGATCAAGGTATAACAAGTATTACATACAAAAATAAAACATATTATAAATGAATAACTAAATCAGGCATAAAGTCATGATTACAAGTAATACATATATATATATATATATATATATATATATATATATATATATATATATATATATATATATATATATATATATATATATATATATATATATATATATATATATATATATATATATATATATATATATATATATATATATATATATATATATATATATATATATATATATATATATATATATATATATATGTCATTATAGAGTGAAAAATAAACAGATTAAAAAAGAACTTGGTTATTGATAATGATGGTATTAATACAAAAACCTTTGATAAACAACATCGAACAATCTCTCAAGTCTTTGTTAAATCAACTTTGACCTTGTCTTCATTCGTTGTGTGAATAACAACTTGCTTAACTAGTTTGTGTTTGAAAGGTCTGGCTTGAAAACATTTTTGGGGATAAAGGGGAGATTACTATGTTATTTCAAGATCACTTTAATGAGTTAAAGCTTATAAGGCCAAATCTTGATGGGATAATTACGATGTTATCCTTGTTTACTTTTTACATATCGATTTGAACTATTATTGAGAAATATTCTTCGAATCTCGATCTAGGATAATCACCTGTTAGACGCTAAACTCTGGACATAGATTTAGATTTAACATTCACGTGAGTATCGAATCTTAATGCTCCATGTTTTTTGATAGGCTGGGAGATCGTCGATTAAACAATACAGTTAAACTTTCGACGGAAGTTTAGACACGAACTCTGTTGTGAGCGATACATGATGATATTGATAAATGCGTAGATTGTGCATAATTGATTGGTAAATTGCAAATTCTAATAGTGAATGAAATCAATCCTGACAAGTTCTCACCTTTCTGAAGGTTTATTTTTTAGTCATCCGTTTTAGATTTTGTAGCTTTTGTCCATTAAACATCTTGCTAACTTATACTTAAAATCATAGTAACTGTTGAACAAAGTTGATATCACACAAATCCATGTGGGTACGACAAAACAAATACTCTCTCTTGATAGATCCTGTATTGCAATCAACAAAATGGCGTCGTTGTCGAAGATTGGTGTTTAGATATTAAAATTATATCAATAGTTTCTATCTTTTTAAGCTTTGTACATTTGTCTATAGTGTATATATACTTGTTTTCCATCATGTTTGTTCAAGTGTTTGGTTAGGATACTTACTTTCGATTTACGCTTGGAAGCGAAACATCGGCAGATCAATTTCTTTTTGATCCAGAAATCAGAATAACTGCATAGGGGAACAACAGCAAAACCTGAAAGCAAAAGTAATTAGCCAAGCAAGAGAAATGTGTCGAGCTAACGATGGTAAACAAGCGCTTGCTAGGAGGCAACACAGCTTTATTGTTGTTTGTTTAAATTGTTGCAAAGTAGTCAATATTCGTATTTAATTTCAAATATTTTTATTTTTGTTATTTGTCTTCAAAGATTGGTGTTTGATAGGATTTAAGAAGTATGGATTGATTGTTTTATGTTTGAATGTTTCAACTTGCACATGTGTGGTAATGATAGTGTTTGAAGTTGATACATTGTCAAGGTACATGTTCAATGTTTTCTATAACATAGCATGAATATGAAACTTGTAATTTGTACAAATATCATGTCATTCATTCTTTTGCAATACATGTTCATATTTGAATCACTTTAGATCATAGCCAAATGTGAGGAAACTTTTCATTGTTCACTGTATGCACAGGAGACCAACAATTCTTATTTTAACTCGTTTGACTTATATTTAATCTTGCATTTGTGTTGAATTGTATGCAAGCATGAAAATGATCAAACCATTTTGTTTAATTTTGAGCACAACCATTTGTCAAAAAGTAACCTATCTTGAAAGTGAGTGAGTATTCGTTAACCCCTTTGAGCCTTAGTATTCGAATCTATATCAATTTTTAATTATGGGATTTTTCCTTTGGACGTAAAGAGTTGTGCATCATTGATTTTAGATTTGATTCTAAATTTCTTTTCTTCAATTTTCAACTATGAATTGTGCTTTGAGTTTTTACACTTCCTTTAGAAACATTCACATTATAATGAACACTACGCCAAAAATAAATTTTGGCAGCGCAACAAGGACAATGCTTTATTTAAAAGCGTTGCTAAAAGATTTATAAAAAAAAAGGAAAAAAGCACAGGCTTTAGAAAGCGCTTTCTAAAAAGTTCTGCTAAAGGTTGTTATTTTGTAATACAATAGAAAGCGCTTTTATGAAACCGCTGCTATAAAGGAGATACGAAAGCGCTTTCAAAAACCGCTGCTATAGAGGGGATACAAAAGTGCTTTCTACACTACGCCAGAATTGACATTTAGCAGCGCATACAAAGACAACGCTTTTAGAAAAAGCGCTGCTAAAGAGGAATTAAAAAAAAAGAAAAAAATTGATAACCAAAGACAGCGCTTTTTCAGAAAGCGCTGCTAAATGGGGGTCCTAATACAACGCTTCTAAAAAGCGTTGCTAAAAGGGGGGTCTAAGACAGCACAAAGACAGCGCTTTTTAAAAAGCGCTGCTAAAGGGGGGTCGTAAGGCAGCGCTTCCAAAAAGCACTGCTAAATGGGGGGTCTAAGACAGCGCTTTTCTAAAGTGCTGCTGTAGGTCTAGTCTACGAGAGCGCTTTTTCCATAAAGCGCTGCTATATGGGGTACATTAGAAGGTCTTTGAGAGCGCTTTTTAAAGCGCTGCTAAAGCTATTAAAAAGCGCTGCTATAGGTTTATTAGAATTAATTTATAATACCCACCAGAATTTTTATGAGAAACAGAACAATCATTACGTATTTCTTTCTTTCTTTTTCTCTGGCGAACAAAGAACGTTGCCCTATAAACCCATCGTTGTCGTCCAACCGTCGCCGTCCGTCCAACCGTCGTCCTCCTCTGTTACATTTCGCCGCCGTTCACCGTCCCTCTGCTCGTCTGCATTGCATTTCCGCCATTGTTACAGTATTTGAAGTTTTACTCTAGTTTTCTTTTTTACGTATATTTTCACCATTGTTGCTGTAATCTTTAAGTAGA